GTGCATGCCGTAGTCGTTAGATCATTGACCTCGCATCCCTACAAAGCCATAANGGGGGGGGGGGGGGGGGGCGCGTATGGCTCAATGTTTGGACTGCTGTATAGCATTGCTGGAGTGCAACGACGCAAGATCTATCGAGCCTTGAAGTTGCGCGGAAATCGAAACACTGGAGCGGTCACAACCATTACTCCACCCCGCTAGAGCCGCATGACGGAAGGAACCACCGCACATGTCGTCAGTGCTGGAACGGAACGAGCATCGACTGCTGTGGTATTGCCTCGAACGGGTGGTCTTTCTGTGGCTGCCGCGTGTATATTTTTTCTAAAAACATCGGCCGCCACCCCCTCTTCTGTTCCTTCACCCGCTCGCCGTGGCCCCCAGCAGGCGCGCTTCCTGTCGTTGTTCGAGAACGCGATCAAGAACCACGGGGGGTGTGTAGGGGGGGCGATCTTCGTAGATGGTGAGAGAGTTGTTCGCCAGGGGAGGATAAGAAAGGGGTTCCATTGTTTGGAAGGCCAACTGGCTGAGGAAAAGAAAAAAAAAGAAAATGTTTTCGAGCGGTTTGGGGCAGTTTTGGGCAAACCGTGAGCAACACCCGTCCTCTTGTTGTTCTCACCATGTGCCATTGTGCCATTCAGTAAACCAGCAACCTGTCTGTGACATGAACCGCTTGTAGAAACGGCCTCAAACACGCAAGGCACCGCCATGCCGTCGTTGCACCTTGCTGAATCACTAATTGTGGACGTTTGGAGTTCACAGGTTAGTGTAATTTTTGTTCCATGGTTGGCTGCTCAGGCGCCATCTCCACCATTCACACAGCCAGCAAAACTTGCACGAGCCCATTGGCGTTACAAGTAGCCTACCCGTTGTCTGGTGGGAAGTCGCACATCGATATTCTTCGTCGCAACCTTGTGAACCCCCTTTAAAACGATCGAGAAAGACGTTGACGCAGCATCGCCTATTCCGTTTCCAACTTGTGGCTGTCAGACGGCGTGTTGGTGAGGGTCGGACAGCTGTGCGACATCGTGGCGTGGGAGCGTGAAGAGGTTGGGGTGTCAGTAGCCCTGCGGTGCATCGGGCGGTGTGAGATAGGCGGTGAGGACCAGCACTACCGAGGATCTATTGAGTTCGCATCGACCGCGCTACACATGCAAACACCGTTGAAAAGTTACATCAATCTTGTAGCACTGTGTATATACTTGGGTCACCTCTGCTGCTACGATTTCGTTCCCGGCAACGAGAAAGCAGGGGTGATGACTCGTGGGCGGATGGCCATACGTGTTGGCGTTCAATCGGACGCAGGCGGCAGAGTAGACAGATTTTTGCGGGTTTACGCTTGTCTCCATTCCCCGTCTAATCTACACGATTTATGGCGTGAAGGTCTCACACCGATCTCTGGAACGTTCCTCTGGAACGGTTCTCGCACCTGAACCGTTTCTTGAAACGTTCCTTTTTTACCAGCACTGATCTCTGGGACGTTCCTCGCGACGCCCCTCTTGTCGCGCCTTTCGTTTGGCAGACGTGACGAACGTAGACCCTTACATCCGCGCGAACGTCCGCGAGGTTCGAGACGTGGTCGGCATGGACGAGCCGGACGAGGAGGGGGAGGACAACGGCGTCGTTTCCTCCGATGTGAGCCTTAGTCCATCGCATCGTCGAATGTCATGGTGCCGTTTATGCTTGTGCGCGGTTGACTGCGGTACCTAGGTCTGTCTCGTTTTGATGTGTTGAACACGCCTGCATGTTGATGGTATCGATGATGCTGTGCTGCTACTGCTGCTCTTTGGTGTTTGTAAAGATGCTCTTTGGTCCTGTGGCAGCAGCCGCTACCAGTGCTGGCGCTTGTGCTAATGGTTTCACTTACTTGGTGCTGGGCCATATTTTTCCGTCAGCATCACCAAGTTCATGCTTCCATCACATTTTCCGGGATACACATTTTGCAGATGTTACATACCCGTTTTTTTGTCTAGGTGTTCAGCCTCCACCGACAGTGCGTGGAACTAGAGGGGAAGATGGCGACAGCAGCCGGGGGTAACGTGGGGTGGGAAGACGAAGGCGGGAGGGGGCCGTCGCCTTCTCGACGAATAGTCGCTGACAACAACGGCGACGACGACGACGACGATGATGATGATGATGAGCTGTTTGATAACGTCACGGGAAGCGCGGAGGAATTCGAAGGAGCGGGGAGCGCTAGCGGCGCCGAGGTTGACGATCTCATGGAGAGATTCCAGCGAGGCGGCGGCGAGCTGGACCTAAGCCAGCTGGGCGGCGGTAGCAGCAACGGGGATTACGAAAGGCAAATATCTGTGTCGATAGCGGGGGCGGCGGAGGACATTGCCGCCGGGTGGCAGGCGGAGGACGATGAGGAAGAGGATGAGGAGGGAGAGGAGGAGGAGGAGGATAAGGAGAGCGGGAAAGCAAAGGGGCTGGGGGACTTGCTGTGGGGGCATGAGGCATACGAGAGCGACGGCTTCGACTCCAGCCTAGAGGACCAGGTCGAAGCCATGTGAGTTGGTTTACTGCCCGCCCATGGTACCCCCGTGTTTGCCATCGGGGTGGGGTTTTCGTCGCTTGGCAACGACGTTGTAAAACAAGCCGCCCCCCCCGGTGTTTGCCATCGGGATTGGGTTCTCGTCGCTTGGCAACGACGTTGTAAAACAAGCCAATTCACGTCGTGAACTCGGCAACCAGGTTACCGTTTTTTTTTTTTTACCTGTGTTTTTATTTTTGGCGGTAACCATAATGGTGGTCGAGTAGATCATGTTGTGCGGGGTGGAGAACCCTCACTCCGCGCAAGGGGGATGATCGCACCACGTTGTGTTAAAATGGTCAAGCACCCTCGAGGCAGTTACACAGTGCTTACAACTG